TAGCATGTCCTTAACTCTAATGACATTTATCTATAAGCCAACTATAAGCTATAGACAAATATTTTAAAAATCCAAAAAGGTAAAAAGGAGAAAAAAAATTGAGTTCAAACAAAACAGCTGTAAGTATGGTAACCAGTTACAGATTGGACAGACAGATGGACAAACACACACACAAAACAGCCTTTTTACAGAACCAGAGTACATGCAGATGTATTTGGCTGTGTTAGATTATAATAACCCCTTCACAGTTAAGTTTGTAACTATAAGTAGACCAGTCCGTACTTTTTGTAGATCAATTAACAGTGGTCTCTTGTAATAAGAACCGGAAGGCATAAAAACCTTTTACTCGTAATCAACATTTTCTTCTGTATTTTATTGTGTCTTAAGAATTTTGACAATTCCCTGCCCTCTTCTTTCATTTAGCCTCCAGCTCAGTCATCTCTATACCTGCTGTCACCTACTCAGACCTTCTTTTTCTTCTAACAGTGTTTGTAGGGTCCCCCTCAGTAAAACTCAACATAGTTTGGGTCAGCATTGAACTTTTTGAAGATTCAGTCCCCACATCTTGATAAGTTTTTACATAAATAATTTCCAAGATTGTTTGTGGCCCTGGCCACCCCAAGGGCCTGTTTATAGTCCTTATTTGCACTCCCAAAGGCCAACTGTAACACTATAATCTCAGCTGCTAGTGAAAGAGGAGTCTGTCTTCGGACTGCCTCCTGTAACCTAGCAAGGAACTGATTATGACCCCTGTGAAATACGTGAAAAGGATTGAACTGGAGTGCCCTCTTTGGGAACCGTAGCCCATGCCCATTTCATCATCAAATTTATTCGTTCATATGTTTCATTAGGATAAGTCAATTGCCGCCCAAGATCTGTATAAAGTCCTGTTCCTAGCAGCACATCTTTCATAACACCGGGCCTTCTAGCTGCCCTATTTCTTCCTGCCAGTTCTATGGCCAGCTCCTGTAACTGCACATTAAAATGGAGACCAGTTATACGAATGCTATGACCTGCTGCTGACCTGCTGATACGAACGAGCAAGATGCTTAATCTTGTGGGACCATATGTAGAACTCCCAAAATGGACTCCAGGAATCCCAGTGTAAAGGGTCCCTGTACTCAAGTGATCCTCCCACCTCAGCCTCTCAAGTAGCTGGAACTACAGGCACACGCCACCATGCGTGGTATAGCCAAGGGGACCAAAGAGGGAGAAGCTGCTTCTCCACTACATAGCTGTGCTGCTGGCCCACGGCTGCCCCTCATTCTTCTTGGCCCGGGTCTTGTACCACCACCTCCATGGCTGCCCTCTCTGTTGCAGCCACCCTGACGATGACGATTGCACCACTGTTTTGGGTGGACTGTGTCAGCCTCTAAAAATTCTGGAGGTGCAGGCTAAGTAAGTCTCTTTACTTTCTCCCTGATCTTTCCCTTTTCCCTGACCAGGGAGAGTAGTAGCAGTTGTAGCAATCGTTGCAGCACACAGTCTCCAGTATGGATTTTACCAAACTCCATGTTGAAAGGGGCAATCTGTTCTCCCCTAGTATGGGCCCTTCTTAAATTTTTGCCCATTCTATCCCAGTTCTCTGAGTCCAAAGTTCCTGCCTACGGGAACCATGGATTATGTTTGGTGATATCTCGCAGCATTTTGGAAAGAGAGTGGGTACTGACCTGGACCCCTACCTCTTTCAACAACATACACAGCAACTGTACACATCACTGCTCCTCTGCTAACACTTTCTGCCCCCTTATCCCTGGTAAGAAAAGCCTTTCCCTGGTGTTACTATTTACTTTCACTTTCTTGAATGGTTTCTGGATTTGTCTCCTGGAGTTCCCCAGTGTCTATACCTGCTCCTTTCCCACCCTAGTGGGTCTTTCCCTCCAGGTCTTAGTATCCCTGCTCAGATACCAGGTACCAGGGGTTGATCAGACCCTCGGATACCTGTAGAGGGGACAATGGGGAATAAAGAAAGACAAAGAGACAAATTTCAGGATATAAGGGGAACCATGAAGAGTTCACTTCTAGTGGACTGGCTCAGCTACCTCCACGGTTGGCTCGCTTATACTGGCTAGCAAGAAGCTCAAGGGGAGGGGTTGCACGAGTTTCCTGGAACAGTAACTATAGGACATGGGTGGATAAGGATTATGTTAATGAGGAACCAGATTTCCTCTAAACCCAAATGGCTGTATTTTGACAACTGTCCTCAGCAGATGCTATCTTGCCTCAGCCGTGCCAACTTATTAGCATTCCACCCACGGCCGGGGTCACATGGATTTCTGTATACCTCCCTGTTCCTGAAGCAAGGTCACATTGACTTCGGAACTATGGGGGGGCTTAAGTCACATGGTTGGGCCCCCCATAATCTGTCACATAGCCTGGGTCCCCAACAGCCAATCCTTTTTTTTTTTTTTTTTTTGAGGCAAGGTCTCACTATACAATTCAGGCTTGTTTTGAACTCACTGGGTAGCCTAGGCTGGCCGCAATCCTCCTGCCTCAGCCTCCCAAATGCTGAGATTATAGGCATATGCTACCACACCAGTCCTGTTCCTCTTTCTTAGTATGTGAAAGGACAGGGATTTCATTGTTGTTGTTCTTGTGGTTGTTTTAAATTTATTGGGGAAAGTACATTTGGCCAAATGATATGAGAGTCAAGCCTACTGTAACAGTAAGGAAGTCTGTTGTTTATTATAAAGAAAAGCATGTAAAAGTGCACATCAAATAAACTTTTTATTAATTTTTTATTAATTAGTTTACTTAGATTCTAAACGGGCAGTCCCAGGGTCTCCTCTGCATTGTGCTGCCATCATCTTGCTTAATCAGCTCTGTGGGGGCTGGGGATTTAGCTCAGCAGCACAGCGCCTGCCTGGCAAGCTCAAGGTT